AAATTATAATTTAAAAATCCACGTGGTATTTGAGATGAGGAAGGGCTGGAATTTGGTAGGGAAAGACATCTATCCAAACATTCATACTAGTAATCTGAAAAGTTTTCTTGATACCATCTTTTCGCTGATCCTCCATAGCCAAACACAAAATATCTTGCAAATTCTGTTACATATACTTCTCACAGTTATAGTAGAGAAATCTATATTCCAGGTTCTAGAGTTTTGCAAACTTGGGTTTGAATCTGTTCTACCACTTACTAGCCATGTCAGTTTTGGAAAAGGAACTTAGTCTCTTTAAGTCTCAGCATCTTCATTTATAAAAATGGGGGGAATAATTATTCTTCCTTCACAGGACTGTCATAAAAATTAAATACGAAAAGTATAGAAAGCACTTAGCATAGGGCTCAGGACATAATGAATGCTCAGTAATGTTTTTTCTTTTTATTCTCTCCATCTCCACTGCCACTATCATTTCATGCATCATATCCAATTCCCTGTATCTGATCTTCTTACGTCCGATCTTCTTCTGGCCCCTCTGGTCAACCTCCCAACAGCCAGATGTATTTTTAAAACTGTATGTATATAATATAATACCCCTGCTTGAAATCCTCCAAAGGCTTCTCTCATTATCCTTAAGTTACAGATCAAAATCCCAGCATAGACTCTATAAGCCCCTGCAAACCTGAGTCTGGGTTCTTCCACTGCTCCAGCCCCATCTTGCTCCATCCTCCTCTCACTGACCATGGTCGGAACCAGGGGTCAGCAAACATTTTCTGTGAAGGGCCATGGAGTAAATATATAGGCTTTGAGGGCCACACAGTCTCCGTTCCATCTCCTCATCTCTGCCAATGTAGCATTAAAGCAGCCGCAGACAATGCATGAGATGAATGTGCTCCAGTAACACTTTACTTACAAACACTGATACTGAAATTTCCTATAATGTTCATGTGTCCTGATACATTATTCTTCTTTTATTTTTCAATTATTAAAAAGTATGAAAACCATTCTTAGCTCAAGGACTATACAAAAACAGGTGGTAGGTTGGATCTGGCCTGCGGGGTGCAGTTTGCCATCTCCTGGTCTAAACCACACTGGCTTTTTTTCAATTTCTGGAAGAAACCAAGCTCTCTTTGCATGTGCTCTCTGCCTGTTCTCTTTCTTCCCTATCTTGGTAAATTCCTACTTCAAGTCTCAAATGTCACTTCTTTGAGAAGGAAGCCTTCTAAAAT